TATGAGATACTTAGGGATGCTGTTTAATAAAATCTTACTTATCTACATTACTAAAATTTACTTACTATGCCACTGTAGCTGACCTGCCCTCTGGTATCCTCTGAAACAAGAAACTGCAATTTCTGTCACTAAGCATCTCAGCTCAAAGAACAGCAGAGGATTTGGCAAATAGCCTATGTACTCTCTCAGCAGAAGCGTCTGGTCTCTAACTTACATCTGCTAGACTGAGGTCTCAGGAAGGAAAAACACTTAGAAAAGTTATCATATAGTTTATGACTAAGTGTAAAACGTTTCCAATAAAAGCTATCTAAGAGGGAAATTGGAAATATCCTAAGTGGGGAAAAGGAAAAAAATCTACCAAAGAAAAAATTCTAAGTGGAAATTCTAAGCAGGGGAAAAGGAAAGGACTAATGGGTCCTAAGGAATATCCCTTTTCTTTGTCTTCAGTATTTAAATATCATTCAGAGTACATGATAAGATGTTACAAAGTTCATCACAAGTTCACACAAAATTCAAGTCATAAATTGAAATAGAAGTTTACAATAGATAATGTTTACATGCATATCCATTAGGAGTAATTATCTGGTTAAACATCCATCACCTGTCTAGCTCCTCACGTTCACTGAAGGTTTAAAACTATAACTAATAAATTAGTGAAATTTTGTATAGATAAATTCAGGCAATATTTTTTCTCTTCTCTCCTTGTACCTATAATAAATCGTGAGTTCCCTTTTAGTGACCTTGGTTAATTGTTTTACAACCTCTTGGAATGTGCTCTGAGCAGGAGAAAGTCTGGTTACTATCATACAATATATCTCAATTATAGATTCTCTTCACTTTTCTCCCAATTCTTTCCAATACTCCCATGCAATCTAGATCCACAATTTTTTGCTCTCTTTGAAAATAAACAGACTTCTAAATGACAACTATCAAATTAAATGTACTGAGATAAAATTAAAAACAAATATAACCCCCCTGGCAACGGGTAATGTGATACGTTGTTGGATTGATTGTTGGTATGTTGTTCTTATATCAATCAGGGGCAGAATACATGGCAGTTTTTGTTCATCCTCGCTTGATGCCTGGCTTTATGGCCAAAGCCATTTTATAAAAGCACACATACAAACTAAACCGAAACAAACTTAACCAAACCAAAACTAGGCAGTACAGTGGAAGAGAAAGAAGATACGTAAGAGACTTTTGGACAGCGATGCTTTCCACACACCTCCCCTCTGGTGCTTAGCACATGCAGTGACATAGACATGAGCTTACAACTACATCTTTAAGCATGGGCAAAGGATGTTACCCAGGGCCTGGTAGCTGCATGATCATCCTCATGTGGTAGTCAGATAAGAATAAAGTAGCTTGAACAGCATGAACAGAGTAAAAACTTTAGACTTGAAGATGGACAGGATTAGTCAGTTGTAAGTGCTCAGTCCTAGCAGACCCCTATTTAGGGGTCTGAGGTTCATGTTACCTCTAGAGATTATGGACATGTAGCTAGTCAGGGTAGCTACCAGGGACCACATGGATGACCAAGAGTTGTACAGAACTGACCTTGCCCTTCACTGCCTGTGACACTCAGAAGAGCTGGCTCTATATCTCACTAGTGACAGCACATGGAAGTATAGGCCACTTCTCTCCACCAGTCTGCACAGTGGAGCTAACTTTGGCAGTGGGTGTAGGTGAGCTGAGGCTACAAAGGTGGAAGAACTGATCCTGCCATTTGTCTCTCATAGAGTGCCATGGATGCAGAGATGATGCCTCACTGCCACCTCTATCAGTTGGAAAAGCAGCCCACAAGGTCATAAGTATAATACAGCTAACCCCACTTTTCATCATCAGCAGTATTCAGAAAGTGGGCCCTGTATCTTGCCTGCAAATCACAGCAAAGGTATGTCTGGTGGTAGGGGCACAGCTGAACTATCTGAGAGTGAGAGTTCATCAGAGCTGGTCTCTCCACTCATCTGCCATGTATTTGCCTTGAGGTGATGTAGGTGTGAGGTGATTCCTCTCCTTACCCCCACCACCTGTGGCAGTCAATAGAGCTTGCCCCTTGGGCTTGAGAATGGGAGAACTAGCCTTGCCCTTTCACTGCTTGTAGCATTGGGGAGAGTGGTCCACGCACATTGCCTGATTAACATAGTTGAGCCAATCCAATGGCTAATGCAGCAGTGATCCAACTTAAGGGTGTGAGAGTAGAAGAGCTGTCCAAACATCTTCAAACTGAAGCTCTAGGGCAAGTGGGCCTCTTTCTTTGATGGGGCAGCATAGTGGAGCTGGCCCCTGCAGGCATGGTTGTGTGTGAACTGGCACCAATGGCCTTACATCAGAAGACTTGACTCTGCTTCCTATTGATAGTAGTATTGGTTGGCCTAGCTAGAGTAGTGCTGCAGAGTTCTGCCTGGTGGTGCAGATAAGGGAGCGCCAGAGCCCTGACCAGCTCAGCTACCACCCAGTTCCAGACCCATGGTCTCTCAGTTGGCCCACACTCAAAATCTCTATTATCAGCAAATGTTTGAGCTGTGTGAAAGGATCAATCCTGATGATTCAAATCAGCAGAATCTCCATGACATGGATCAACAACAGAATAATTTGGAGGAGTCCTGCTGATGATCCATTATAGATAGTATTAGAAAAGCCAGATATCTTGAACCAGACCGAATCATTGCAATGAACATTTGAAAGTGAAGAGAGAGGGATATACTGTGGGACACACTGTGACATATACAGGTGTCATGATGAGATGTTTTTTATGCTCTAGTCTTTTAGTTTCATGTGTATTGTGTTTTTCATTTGGCTTGGGATGTTGCAAAGGTGAAAGGCAGATATAAGGGCATCAGAAGACGAGCAGGACTGGAGAGCATTACATGAAATTCACAAAGAGTCAACAAAAAGTTTTAAAAGATTGAAATAGGACAAAACATACAAACATAAGGAAAAGAGGCAAAAAAAGCACAAGAAAAACATATTAATACAGATGAACTTGTCTAGTTCCCACTATGATCTATTCCTTTTTATTTAGATGATTTTCATATATGTATGTATTTGAGGAAAATTATACTAAATTAGGATTTCTCTCTACCACTCAAACAGACTTTCATTTTAGGTATTTGTTTCTGTATTTTCTACCTTGTCAGCCTCATCTTTCCTCCCCATTTGATCTGTCTATTTCAGTCCATTCACTCCCATCTTTCAGGTTAACATGTGTCCTTCACCAGTTGTTGGGTTAAATTGCCTCCTGTGTCTGTCTCTCCCCTGGGCTAGGGCCACTCAGCAAGACTGAGTCAAGGGAAGTTTGGCTGTATTATCTCCATGCAGGTGCTGGGCAGGCATCAGGCTATGTGAAGCCACAGGAGGACCCTGCTTTTTGGGTGGTAGGTGGAGGAGTGCAGTCTGAGGTCCCTGAAGATCCTTCCAGAATTGGTTGGAGGGTCCCCGGGCCAAAAGGTGTTTATGGACCAGCTTGTTCACAGGCTCCTGGGTCCTCCAGGCACTGCTTAGAGCCATGAAGGAGCTCAGAACAAAGTACGGGCACATGGGTTCTATCTGCCTGCATCCAAAGGGATAAGAAAGGGAGAGAAACACTTGCTGTGTCCAGTGGGGATGAGGCTTAGTTATGGTGCCCCACTTGACTTGCTTGAGTTGGAGGTCTGTCTTGAGTCTCTGTGGCCTGTAGTAACACCCTCTACCTGTGGAGGGTCTAGTGCAGTGTAGCCCTATGTGACTAAAGGACATAAATCTATGGAAGGCTGCAGCCTTCTGTCAGGAGCCTGAAGTCTGGAAGCATGGCAAAATGCCTGCTGTCCCTTGCAGGGGAGCCTGTGGGGTCACCCGCAGAGTCTCTGGTGGTTTCCTGCATGTGCTTGACCAGAAACCAGGTTGTATTTCACAGTCCTGTATCCATCAATACCTATATATTCTCCCTTTCCTTTCTGTGGATATCTAGCCCCACCCCCAGTACATTACACTACCCTAACTTCTTTGTTTCTATGAATAGTAGCTTGCATACCATCTTCTTAACAGCTAAAATCCACAATAAATGTGTACATGCCATATTTGTTTATCTTGTTTGGGGATCCTTTACTCAGGATGATTTTGTATTTCCATCTACCTGCGAATTTCATAATATACCTCTTTTATTAAGTTTATATCCCTTGAGTTTTATATTGTTTAGCTTCCAGGGAAATTATGACTTCATAAAATGAAATGACAATATTCCTTCTGTTTCTACTTTGTAGTAAAATTTGGGGAGCATCTGTATTAATTCTTGCTTTGAAATCTTGTGGAATGTAAGCAAAAAATAATAATTTAATAAAAAAGATTTTTCTTCCTTCCTTAGTCTTTTGTTGGTGAGATTTTCTTTGAGGTTCATTTTCAAATACCTAAATTTTTCATTTCCAGAATTCCTTCAGTTCGAAATTTCTTTATTAATTCTACTTCTACTCGCAGGTCTTCAACTATTTTTTTTTCATTTCCTTTGTTTTTTCTGTCTTTATTAATTCCTTAATTTCTCTTATAATGGGCATTATAACATGTATAGAGGCTATTTTAAAGCCTGTGTCTGTAATTCTGCTCTGATGCATTTAGTAGTGCCTACTGTATTGCAGTTGCTGGGATTATTGGAATGTAATACATGGTTGAAGTCATAGAGAAGGGAGAGCTACAGCCAAACTCAAAACAGTTACACATAGTGACCTCTCATTGCACAGAGGGGCCACGAGAAGATAGTGGGTGAATTTGTATAAGCTAAAAATGTCCAATTCAGAAATTATCATACAGTCTTTCAGAGAATGGTTTCTGATGGATATATAGAAATTTTAATTAAACAGCAGCCAATGATGGATAACATCCATCACAAGGATCTACACACCCTTTATCCTGAATACCAGACTAACACTCAATCTCAACTTCAAGATGAATTGCATTTTGCACCACAAAAAGTGGCTGCATAAAAAGATACAGAAGCTAGAAATCATACTTAAATTTTTCATTTTTGGAGGATTTTATTTGTACAAGCATTAAAACTGAAGATAAAGTTACTTTAGGAAACATGAGCATTAATTAGTGAAAACAAATGTTAACAGTGCTCATGTCAAATATTTGAAAGCTCTCAGTGTTCACAAGACAACGTGGATTTTGTGGAACTCAAGAGTTAAACATACTCATCAAAGGCCATTCATTGGAGTGGATGGCACTCCTCTGGAAATGGAGTCTCATGCCACCTGCTTCCCTGTGAACACCAGGCTGCTCACACAGTAGGGTATTGGGCAAGTGAAGCAATTGCACAGTGGTTGTTCCTGTCTTTGGCGATCTTCATATATCCGCCCAATCCCCATCGTTTACCCCAGCTAAAAGAAATCATATTTTCCATTTAATAGAAATAATGACACATGATAGACATAATTATTGGCAAGAGGACAACATAACAGTAGTATTAGGGAAAGAAAAAGTTCTACTCCTGAGTATCAAGAAGTGCCTCAAACAAGACGTGAAAAAAAGGAGGGAATGAGAATTTCTACGCATACATGCATGAGAACTGAAAACATGTTTTATGTATGTCAAAAGTAATGACACTGATATTCTAGATACCAGAGTAAGAATGTGAATTTCACAATAATATATTGGTAGTAAGTTCTTAGAGTTATATAGGGTAGCTCAGAGTTTAAGGAGTGGAGATCGACTCCAAGGGCAATTGAAAAGCCATTTTGACATTGTAGTGTGCATGTAATAAATGTTTTTGGGACATGGACACAGGATATATATTTAGCAAACTGGCTAGCCCAAGTAAATAATAATTCCCAGATCAGCCAGAAACACTGCCTCAATATGGATATTGTATAATGATTGAGAAACAACTGATGTTAAAATTGGAGCTGTATACAGGAACACTTCCACACACACGTATGTACACACAGAAATGAAGATAGGCAGACCTCACACATGTACATCATAAAACAAGAATACAATTTGTTCATCTTAAATGGGTCAAAATTTTCTAGGCTGTGCATCAAAATATTGACTGCAATATTTATTCTCTTCATGATCTCCCTGTTCATCTAGTCCCTTAACCACTAAACCATCTCTCTAGCTGCCGGAATTTTAAATACAGATTTTTTGGGGGAATTTATACCTGTTCTTTATCAGCCAGTAGCTATTGCCATCTGTTTCATTTCCTTCAAATCCATAACCAACCACCAGAACTGCATGATTCACAGAACTGGTCACAGAACTTATGCAGTTTGGCTCATGGTAAACACCTGAAAAATAAAATGGAAGCTGACATGAGAAGCAAAGAATACATGACACTGAGCACTGCCACCAACAACAAAAAGGCATTTTCAATGATCTATGAAATCATATAAACTTCACTGGAATAATGAGCTTCATAAATTTTTCAAAAGAATTTATGTATGTGTGTGCGTGTGTGTGTGTGTGTGTGTGTGTGTACATGTGCGTGTGTGTACATAGACATATATATGGCTTTACTGAAAGCTGAATGAATTCAAAGTAGTGATATTTGTTGATAATTGTGGTCTACTAGCATATGAGATGACTTCTTGATGTTGTAAATTTTATTACTAGACTCTCATGTCAAGTTAAGTTTATAGGACAGAAATTACTTAATTTAAAGACTCTGTTATAATTTGATTTCAGATATTCTGTCTCTGTAAGTATATAAAACTTCCACCAAAGTGAGAAGAGTTGAAAATTTAGTCAGCCAATAAAGTTTTATTAATTATGACATATTAACTTTCATGTGGAGGTTAATAAAGATGAAATTCAGTACTTAAAAATATTATGTGAGGATGACTAAAATCCAGAAACTCAAACATTCATAATATATGTTTTATATAAGAGGTGGTCATGGTATAGGGATGTTACATATTTTTTCTTCATATCTAGAGGGAAATATACCAACCTCCCTGATAGAACCTAAAACTACTGGAGACAACATGAACTCCAGTAGCAATGGGCCCTTTAGTTGCTACAGCATCCATTAGGACATCTTCACTTTCTGGGAGGACCACAAATCCTGTGATTTTAGCAGATGAATTCTTAGGATTGTACCTGCATAGTCCTTCCTTTAAAAGACAAAGAAGTAGAAACTCAGTTACTTTCACCTATTGCCTGGAAGCAAGAGACAGACAACAGCATTCTGCGCTTTGCAAATGAACACACTCATGTAAGGAGTTTTTAAAAATAATCATGGGAAGTGAAATATTATTAAATGATTAGGAGCTAAAAATGAGTTCTTCCTCCTAATCATAAGAAAATTGTGAAAAAAAAAAAAAGAAAACTGTGTGCCACAGAGTTCTGAAATATCAGTACAACTATTTCCATATTCTCCAAGCACACAAAAGGAAAAAACAGGGTACACTGATATCATCACACCAAAATCTTAAGCAAACAATACATAACAACAACATTGATAGTGTACAAAGAGATTCTACCATGTATTCTGATCTCTGAAGCTAGTGTATTATCTCTACAATTGTCACTCACTACCAGCTGCGTTGAAATGTCAACTTAGGAAGACCACTTACTTTTCGTTCATATGGATATGTTGCTTCAGCCTCCAGACCTCCGTTGTGCAAAACATACTGAAAGGCATTGTACGTATTACCCCAACGACAGCCTCTATTGCCTTGAGGTCTAGAACAGTCCACTAGGTTCTGTACACTCAGTGGGATCAGTTTGCCAGTTTTCTTGAACATTTGCCCTTCTATGGCACCAGTCACAGGAAAAGCCCAACAAGAACTACATTTTCCCTAAGCAGAGAAGAAAACATGGTCGTCTATAAACAAATACAAAGTCAAGAAACAACGTAGACAGACTAATAATTAATGTAAATGGAGAACTGGTAGATGATGGGTCCATAGAAAAGAACTGCCAGTCTCCTAGAGGACTGAGATGCAGGCAGTATGCACCTGCTCCAGTACACACACACACACATGCACAGGCACACAGGCAAACACACGGACATCTGAGCAGGAGCTATTGGTTTTATGGGTTATTAATGACAATAGCTGGAGCATGAGTTCTACAGTGAGAGGAGAAACTAATAGTTGGAGACTGTGTGCTCCACGCTGCAAAGATCAATATACACTGTAAGATTTCCAAGTATTCAAAGAAGAAAAATATTATTTACAAAATTAACTGCAAATCCCTCCACATTCAATTTGAATACACAGACATTTGCTGTTTTGAAACTCATGTGGTTTAAGAAGGTTGGCATAGCCTAGCATGGTGGTGCATAATCTTTAATGCCAGCACTTGTGAGGCAGAGGCAGTAAGATCTCTGTGTATTCAAGGCCAGTTTGTTCTTCAAATGAGCTCCAAGGCAGCCAGGGATCTTAAAACAAGAAAACTTGTCTCAAACAAAGCAAGCAAACAAGTAAACAAACAAACAAACCAAAATGCAAAATGTGAGAAGAGGAGCAGATAAAGAAGACGATTAGAATGAAGAAGAAGGAGGAAAAGGGAGGAGCAGAAGGAGGAGGAAGGAGGAGAAGGAGGAGGAGAAGAAGAAGAAGAAGAAGAAGAAGAAGAAGAAGAAGAAGAAGAAGAAGAAGAAGAAGAAGAAGAATGGCATGTGACACTGGCATGTGACACTGTCATACCTGTTTTCTCACAGGAGTCACATAGCCTTCATTTCGCCAATCAACAAATTTGGGCAAAGCATCTTTCCAATACCAATTGTTAGGGAAACGACTACCAAGTGCACGTTTCCAGAGACTTTTCCCTGTGTTGTTGACTGGTACTGTAATACCAATTATCATGTCATTGAATTCTTCATCAGTCTTCAAGAAAAAGCATTAAATATTTATTAAAGAAAAGTCTCATGTAAAGCACTAAAGAAAGCACAGGATACAACAATCCATGTCACACTCACCATGTCAGCAAAGTCATTTATTTCCATGGTGTAGGTATTCTTCCCCAGGGAATTCTCCATGTTGTGCAGTTTAATCCTTTTTACATTTTCTTCCCATACTGTTCTCCTCAGTACCTCTTCCTCCTGGGGGAGAATATAATGGAAGACAATTCATTCCATTTACACTCCTGCACAGGCTGATGTTGCAGACTTGCTGTTGCAGGTGACTAGAGGCCAAGGAAGGGATCTCAGGATACTATGGTCTCACTTTTACATACTAAGGAAAAGTGAATCTGAACATCCTGTGCTCACAATGATTTTTATTATGCAATCTCTCCATGGTGGTGGTTCCTAACATGGCACCTATGATCTTCATGTACCCAGACACTTTTACTCTGGGACCCCTCTGAACATGTTCCTGGATACCAACCAGAGTGTATGACTTTTCATATTTTATCTTCCACTCTTCCCATTCGATGTCCAAACTGAGATCAAATCCTGAGGCACCTGACACAACTCCCAAGCACAGGATAACCAGGAAGGCAGCAGGAGTCATGTCTCTACCTGGATATGAAAGAGAAATGAAGATATGACTACACTAGTATTTTTAAAATGTCATCTTACTCCTTCCTGAGAAATTAAGCCATGCATGGTTAATATAATAATTTGCATTATTACTTCAAATACTTTTCAAAAGATTGTGGAAGTCTTTGCTAAATCAACATTCCCTATAGGACCAGATAGGGACATATCACCTGATATTGCATCTGCACCTGCAAATTAAAAACAGATATATCTATGGGTTATGTGCAAGAGATGTCTTCAAAATACCTAGTGCAACTCTATGGACAGAGTCAGACAATCAGTTAAGAGGACTCTATACAAACATAAACTCAGAATGGACTTGGTTTACCATTCTTTACCCTCTCTACCCACTCCACTCTACTTACACAGAAGGCTGGTGATATTAGGTTATATTTTTCTTCTTTGTGATCTGTTCTCCCTGAACTTTCCCAGAGAACCTGTCCAACCCCAGTTTCTGTTCTTCCGGTGACAGGCAGGGCCTTACCTTTCTGTGATGACCACTTCTGCCTCAGATCCCTTCAGAGATTCAACTTGTCGGAGGATGGTGAGTTTCTAGGATCTGGCCCAGCAACTCCTCACTCATGCTATAAATCTGAAGTATCTATAGGGTTGGACCTGCCCCTCAATCATGCTTTACTTTTGATTGGCTGTGTTGGTGATTAGATTAAGGCTGTCCTCACTGGGACTTCAGGCATCTTCTGAGATTTAATCTGATTGACCCTTTGGCTTGGCTGTAGGCTACCTCTGTGGAAAGCAGGAAGCAGAATTTATGAACCTTGTCAAAGAAATGTAGATAACCATCCTGTAGGCCTTGGATCTCATTATACTGGATATTTTTGCTTCTATGATTTTGTTTCCTGTATAATTATGTAGTATTATACCCTTGAAGATTAGAATGGGATGTTTTAGTTACCATCTCTTGCATGGGCTTGGCAATTATATTTTATTTCATGTTTAGTTCATAGCTATGATTGGTCCTTTGAGAGCACACACCCTGGGATGCTCTTTTCCTGATGTCATAGTGTAACATGGATGGATATCATGAGAATATTTAGGAGACAGTGAAACCCAAGGAAGAAAATGATATTCAAGGCTGAGCCATGCAATAGTGAATATGAATGAATGTGTCCATAGTCAGTGGTCTCATTTAATTCACCGGTTCTTCTCTTGGAGAGTAAATTGAATCACCACCTAGAAGCACCACTTTCCCTGTCCTCTTCATTGTGACAATATTGGGGTAATTGGAAAAACCTGCATTGGCCATTTTCAACACCTATTATGAATATCTTAAGAGCACACACATTGTTTGACAGCACCACAAAGAGATATACTTAGAAGGATAGGATTTTCTCTTGAATTTTCTCTGGAAATTGAATATTAATCCTCCTTTTCCCCTCCTCTTACCTTAACACTCATCATTTCTTTTTGTCAGTGTAGATATTTGTCTACTGCCTTTGGTTTAGTGATGTTCTTTACAAGATTCTATAGGAAATGTAGTATCCACTCCAAGTGTCTGCCTCCTGTAGATGGACAGGTCCTCAATTGGAGGGGAATGGTTACCAAACCACTGTCAAAATATTTGATCCACAATTGTTACTATTTAAAAGAACTGCAGTGGCAAAATTGGAGAAGAGACTGAGGTTAAATAGGTCCAGTGACCTCCTTGGTCCCAACTTGGGATCCATCTCATGGGGAGACACCAAAGTCTGATACCATCACTGTGCTATGATGTGCTTACAGGCAGGAGTCTAGCATGGCTGTCCTCAGAGAAGCCCTAACAGAAGAATGATTGAGACAAAGGTAGATACTCACACTCAACCATTGAACTGACCTTATGGTTGGATTAGGGGAAGGATTGAAGAAGTTGAAGGGGAGAGCAACTCCATACTTGACATTAGCAGTGTCAACTAATCATGGGATTGCCATGGGAGCTCCCAGAGTCTGAGCCACCAACCAAGCAGCATATATGGGCTGGTTTATGGCCCTGAGCACATATACTGCACTGGACAGCCTGCTCTGGCCTCTGAGGTACTTGATGCCCCAGGGAAGGGAGATGCCTTGTGGGGGTTAGAAGAGCACCCTCTCAGTAGCAAGGGGTGGAGGTAACTTATAAGGGACTATGAGGGAGGACCAGAAGACAGGGCAGTAGTTGGAAGGTAAATAAAGAATATAATTTTAAAAATAGATAAATAAAGAAGTGAAGACTCTGATGAGGGAATAACAGGTACTCTCTCCTACACTTCTGTATTAGAAGATTTTCACATAAATCTCATATGCCATATATGTAGTCAAATATAGAATGCTGAATTCACATTGTAATCTGAATTTCCTTGCTGATCTCTAGAGGCATCTATTTTTTTTCTCTCTTAAAATGTATAGGGCCATTCTTCAAACTCTAACATATACTTCTGAGATACTCTTTTACTAGAATAATTTAGCTGTAGGAGGAAAATGGTCAGAATACATGGAGACATCTGAGTGATTTTGATTCTGACAATTACAGTGAACTCTCGCTTGGAATGTTTAACAGATGAACTGTCTCTCTGTGTTCTACAGAGCAATGTGTCTGGACTTTGGGTCAGATACACTTTGAGCACCAAGAGATAGACACAATCAGCAGGAAAGAGAGCTAGTCAACAGGAAAAGCCTTGGGCCAAAACAGTCCTCCAAGGGCCTCTAATTAGACATAAGGAGGGCATAGTTCCTCCTTCTCGGTCTCTACCTTTTTCATACACTTTTACTTCTATACCTTCCTAATTGACATGTCATTTGCCTGTTGAAAGCCATGCAAAGAAAAATTATACAACAGAGAGATGCCTTCAATATAATATTTATTTGTGAATAAATCATAAGTAATGTTCTCGACATTTTATAACCAAGACCAGGAGTCATTAGCATATCAGTGCTCCTCTGACTCCCTGATCAGAAGGAAGCACTTTACCTGTAAGTACTAACAAGCTATTCTTGGCACCAATGTGATGCTCCAGTATCAAAATGACCCTATGTTTATTTCAGAGTGCTTGGGAATATGGGCTGAAATCTGCTAGGCTTTTAGGATGGCCACATTAGATTTGTTCTTAAAATGTACATGCTTTATTCATACTAACATTCTCTAAAATATGATATTATTGTTCAACAAATCTCACCAAGAGGGAACAGTTGAACAGAAAGGCTCCTGCACAGTCCTACACTTCAAGCCTCATCTCCATCTGCGGTGAAAATCCTTTACTTATGGCTGGCTGAGACAATGTTATTGATGGAGATCCAGTTGGTCTCATTATTCTACAGGATAGAGATTTCTTGTCATGGAGTCACTGCAGTGTGATCCCACATACTAGCTCCACAGTTCCATTTTATTGTTGTTGCTATCATACCTTAATCCTTCCCTTTGGCAGTAGCTTTGCTCTATTTAAACTCACAGCTTGTGGTTGGTTTATTAGCACAGAGGCACAACCTTAGAATTATTATATCATTAGCAGCTCAAAGATATATCCTGGGCTAGGTTCATATGTGAGCTATTTGTGTGTTTTTCTGGATCTTACTTCTGAGACATAGTTCTTCCTTAGCTGCCTGCTGGCAAACTTCTATTTCACATGAGATACATATTTTCTAGTCACAGGATATGTTTCCTAAGTTAACTTAGATGGATTTAAGCTATGTTCCTTATACTTATGGAACCAGAATACTCACCCTTATGTTAAGGCAATGTGTGCTTCTTCCTGGACACATCCTTCCTATTTCTTTATCATTTTTTTCACTGATTGACTCACATACAGACAAAATCTATGAGGCTTATAACAATGGGCAACATCCTCTCTTACCTCTAGACTTCCCCTTAATCTACAGAAAACATTGAAAACCAAAGAAGCTCAGACTACACAAGGGCCTTTAGAGCCCAACCTTCCAAATGCCACCACAATTCTACTCCCAAAGCAACACAATAAGGTCTAACATAACAACACTCAATTTTCCCCATATCATTTTTCTTCTATTTAGTTTCTATCAATAGGATAGATATCATGGACAACAGGAATATTTGGAATAAAAGGGCTTATTTTACAATATACAAGTCACCGTTGAGTGATGCCAAGACTTGGAATTTAAGGTATGGGTCTGATGCTATGTCCAAATGCCAAATACTGACATTCCATCACACTCATGCTCAGCCACATTATTCTAGAGCCCAGGCCTACCTTTGTAGGATGGTTTTGCCCCTAGTGACCTGGGCACTTCTATGTCAATTAATAGTCTAAAAAAATTCAAAAGGCATGGCCACAGGCTAATCTGATGGAAGCAATTTCAAATGTATTTCTCTTTTTCCTGTATGTTCAGTTGAAAACTAATATTATCCATCATAGCTGGTTTGGCAATGATAATTCTTATAGCTTGTGTCTTGTAAAAATTTTTCATGGTACTACAATTCTTTCAGATAATTTTTCTAGGTAAGATAATCTGTGTCAGCAATTGTGGTCTCTTTGAACTTGGAAAACATTGTTTAAGCCCTTCTGTCTTGTGAACTTTTCACTTAAAAGTCAGCTGCTACTCTGATGGGTTTGTTTTTATTTGTCATTTGTGGCTTTTTTCTGGTAGCTTTCAATACTTTTCCTTTGTTTTGTGTATTTACTGTTTTAACTATGGAATGATGTGTACTGTTGCATTTCTTGTGTCCTTTTAGCCTTCTGCTTGCCTCTTGGATCTGAATGGGTGCATCTTCTTAGTTTGGGAATTTGGGGAAGTTGATTCTTTGATCCTGGTGAGAATCTGATCTATACTATTTACCTTGGATTCTTCTTCTGCTTCTATGCTTATGATTCATAGGTACTATGTTTTCTCTGTCTCCCAAAGTTATTCACATTCCTTTCCTTTGTTTTGTTGGTTTATATGGGATTTTTAAATATTATTGTTTTTCACTGATGGTCTAAGTCCTCTACTTTGTCCTCAGGCCTGATATTTTGATTCCTATTGATCTTTCATACTCCATGTGAATGCAGTGCTCTTCTTATCATTTTATTTCTCATTTACTGTTTAATGTAAAGTCAAGCACAAATCCAGAGGAAAGCAAAATTTGCTGGAATGGGGCATATTTTTCTGATGCAACTCTTTTATGATGACCTATATCTAGACTGGTTTGAAATTACAGGTGTGACTGGACCAAGTAAATTTAAATTATAAAAAACAAAAGATAGAGAGAAGGGTTTCATTTTAGGTCATTACTTGTCAGGCCCTGAAGTCCTAAATGTTTTGTCTGCCTGATATTATTGCTATGATGAAACACCAAGACCAAGGAAACTTTGGGAGACAAGGGTTTATTCAGCGTATGCTTCCAAATCACAGTTCATTATTAAAGGATATCAGAACAGAAGTCAAACAGATCAGGCACCTGGAGGCAGGAGATGAGGGAGAAGCAGTGGAAGAATGTCACTTACTATCTTGATCATCATAGCTTGCTCAGCCTGCTTTCTTAAAAAATCTAAGAACACAGGCTCAAGGATAGAACTAACCACAACGA